CGTTGCTGAGAGGGTGGAGAAAGGCGGCGGCACTAGATTTTCCCTTCTTCTTCTTCTTCTTTATTTTTCTTTCTATTTTCTTCTTTTTTTCCCCTTCTTTCCCTCTTTGTAACGGTGGTCTAGGATTTTGTTTGTATAACATGTAGTGCTACTTAGTGCTCTACTAAGTTTAAATTGCAATTATGTTCCTCATTTTCTATTTTATATAACATTTAGTAACTCCTATAATTGAAAATTAAATCCAAAAATTCTATTTTATTCATATTGACCCCTATACCCATTTCCTTCTTTATGAAAAATTTATTTTGGTTTATTTAAAATGACATCTTGGATTAGTAAAAAAAATTGAAATTTGAAAGACGTATTTATGTATCCGTGTTCGAAATTTAGACTCATTTTAGTTATATTCCCATATCCTATATTTTAGAAAATAAAAGATTTGATACTTAATACATACTCATACTCGATACTGTGTCCCAAGTCCAAGCATCATAGCACTGAAGGACCCATGACCATCTTTCTTTCTGATGCTTCATTTATTGTTGATTATGTCAACTTCTGTCAAATTAATAGTTTTTATTTATCTAAAGTTAATTTGGTCAACAAGGATCGGGATTCCTTTCTAAACAAGTTTGGAAGCTTCTAGCTTAGTATTTGACTAAATGGATTGTTTTTACTCAACTCCTAACTCTTGAGCCTTATGTATGCTTCTTACTCGATACAGTGTCTCTTCTTTTCTTGTCTTGATTTTACGAGCAAGAAGACAAGAACTTACTCATTATTTTTGCTCATTTTTCGACTTTGAGCTTTCTTGAGACATGACATGCTAGTACATGTCTCGTCTATCCAAATCTTGAGTTTATGAGTAGAAAGATTATAACTCAGTGCTTGTTTGGATAAAATTATAAATTGTTGAAATTATAATGTGAAAACAAGAAGTGATGGAGAAGTGAATAGTAGTTTTGGTTCTTACGAAATATGTGATTAAAAATAATATTTGATTCTAAATGTTAAATTATAAGGAAATTACGATGTCTTCCAGACGTGCACTTAGTCACTGCTTTTGCTCATCTCTTAGACTTGTGGCTTTTCGAGATTTTACAAGCTAGAGTGCCTGCTGTCTAGCCCCTGCTCATCCTGGAATACAATCAACAATACTTGAATATAGCCCTCAGGGCACATCTCCAAGTGGTAAAAGGGGAGGGTGGAGAAATCCAGCTTTGCTTGAGGCTGCTGCGTCAAGGGTTCGAATCCTGAAATATAGATTTGGCTCTTGGGTAAGTGCAAGTGTATAAGCAGCCTTCCACCCTATACCCTTGGAGGCATAACCTGCTATTTCCCTCCCTCACGATACTCCAGGACAGAGGTGGTAGGATACCCTTAAGGTTAGGGTTTACCCTTTTTTTTTTTTTTTTTTTTTTTTTTTTTTTTTTTTAACAATACTTGAACATAGTCCTTACTTTTTGCTCAAGTCAACTGTGAGCCTTACGAGACTAGACTTTCTATTCTTGTTATCTACTTTTAAGATTACAAGTTGAAAGATTTGACCTTAGTCATTACTTTTATTTAACCCTCGTCGTTGAGCTTCTTGAGAATTGACATACTAGAGATTTCCTAGTCTTCGTTCATTTGGAGTTTATGCTTGTATTTGACTCCATTTTCTCAAACTCATTTTCAATTACACATTCTCTCATATAATAGTTTTACACATGAACCTCAAATTTTTTTCCTTTTTTTTAATCATACATTCTCATAAAATATAAAAAAATGAAATAAAAAATAAATCAATATTCCAAAATCTCTTCCCCAACCTCCAAAATCGGGCTCAAACAGGGCCTATAAGATGCAAGACTTGAAATTAGTTGTTGATTTGTGCTTTCTTAAGATTTGAAAAGTTTCATACTTGCTCATTTAAAGTTATGAAATGCAAGACACACCATAAGGCTAAACCTTAAAGGTGATTGCGAACACTTGTTTTATCTTATCTTTTCTTGGCATTTTATCACTAATTTCATCTTTTGAGCTTTTTTTTTATAAGATAGAATTTTCTATGAATTTTATCATTTTCTCTTCTTTTTTCCACTTTTACACAGAAGGCAAATGGGAAAGGGAAGGAACCATTCGAAGTGGTGGATAGTCGAAAGAATAAGTGCTTGTTTGTGTCCCATTATTTGTGAGTAATGTATTATGGAATAATGATCGATGTTGAAATGTGTGGTTAAAAAAGAAGGGATTTTTTTTATTTACGTATAATATTATTTTAATGAAGAATGTATAGTTAAAAATGAGTACCGTAGAAAAAATAATGTAGTAGAATGTAAAAAATGGTAGACAAACAAAACTTCAGAAAAAACTAATAGTAATGAAAAGTGTACTATTGGATATTGACATTTTCTCTCTCTTCATGAGCATGTTTTGGATGGCTTATCTAAAAATAAGTACAAAATATGTAGCTTATGTTTAATGTGAGCCCACTCACAGTCTCACTCAAAATAATTCAACATAAGTAACACATTTAGTGCTTATCTTTTAAATAAGACATCCGATACATGCACTATAAGCAAGCATATAAGCTAAAACAAACATGCTCATGACTCATGAGAAACAAATAAGCCTTTGTTTGTCAACTATTCTATTACATTATTTTTTTTACAATAATTATTTTCAACCACACATTATTCATTAAAATAATTTTACACATAAATAAAAAAAAATCATTCTTTTTTAACCACATATTTTAATATCAATCACTATTTCATAATACATTTTTTGAAATTAAATGAGTACAAACAGGCCCTAAATTGTTTGTTCTCTAAAAGACCCTATTAGTGATTCTATGGAAAACTCCTACATATTTTTTTACCTTTCGTGGGTTGCATTGTTATGTGATTAATAATTTAAAACCTATTGTTTACTACTTTATTGATCTATTTTATATTTGATTAAGTTAGACTTTCAATTTCTTAGATTTCGAAGATGGTTTATCATTTTTTTGAGGATATTTTTATATTGTATTTATTAAATTATTTTATTAATGTATTTTGAAGCTCACACTTCAAAAGCCTCTTCAAAATTGTGGAGCCAAGCACAAAGGAAACTTAAAAAGTATTCAACAATTGAGGAACGGAGCCTCAAAAGCCTTGAGAATTGTATAATGAGGTGTGCACCTTAGAGTAAAGGCTGAGAAGTAAGTCCACAAACCTAATCAGTGTCCTCGCTTTAAGTAGACTATCTTTTAAAGTCTGATTGGGCAGCCTCTTGAATCCCAACTGCTTGAACATCCCTTAAGGTTTAATCGTGTTTTGGTCACTTAACCTTGACAATGCATCAACTAATTCATTTTTATCTCTTTATTTTTAAAGGAGGTTCAGACAATGCTGCCGATACGTTAATTAAATTCTTTAAAATTCTTCATTTATATAGTATAAATTTAATTTTATACTTATTAATTGTTCTGGTTGAAATCTTTTAAATATGAATAACTATTTGTTATTTACCAATAACTTTGAGTTAAAAATAAATAATATTTCTAATTAAAAAATAAAATGATTATGGTAAAGTATTGGACATGGATACATTATCTTAGTTGAAGTATCCGTGCTACTGAGCTTGTAACCGAGTTAAAGTAGATATTAAACTCACTCTACTTTTTAATTTTTTTAATTAATCTCATTATGCTTGTTTAGTAGATATTAAATTCACTATTTTTTGACTAATCTAATTCTATCTGTTGACCTTGGGGCAATCCCTATGATTTGGGAGGCCCTTGACGGTGTTCCCATCCTATTCCCTTGTGTAAACGGAATGGGACGCATGGTTTGCTCGTCCTGGTCATTATATCCTTTTTATGGTGGTTTCCTTAACTTGTTTCTTCCATTGTGGACGCGAAAAAATGCAACAAAAGGGTTTTCCTTTGATTACTCAAGATGATACCTTTTTGTTCACATCTGTTGCAGGGTCCCACTCTAGCTTTGGGCAATAGGGGAGTTTCAGAAGATTTTTCTTTAGTAGCTCTGCTCTTCTTTTTCTTCCAGTTTCTATTTCACATAAACTGGTTAGAAGGAACGTAGCAAGACTGAGGTGGTGGTCGCCTCCACTCCAAAAATCAAGTTAGTCTTTGATATATATCATGAATAACCATTACATAGGAAAACATGATGCTTTATGCTTAGTCAACATGTTTTCCTCTTTCATATGAACAAGACTATAATTATGGCAAGAATAATTCTATGTGTACATTATGATATCTATAAAGGTATTCATAATTTACCCGTGGAAATTCATGATTGGAGGGTTGAAAAAACCGATCGCCTCCACTCCGAAAATCAAGTTAGTCTTTGACATATATCATGAACAACCATTACATAGAAAAACATGATGCTTTATGCTTAGTCAACATGTTTTCATCTTTCATATGAACAAGACTGTAATTATGGCAAGGATAATTCTACGTGTACATTATGATATTCATAAAGGTATTCATAATCTACATGTGGAAAATTATTTTTCAACCCTTCAATGATGTTGTGTCACTTGTACATTATAGACATCCTTATGTACATATAGGGTAACTCTTATGACAATGCTTGATAGTATCTCATTATAAATTTCTGAATTTTCAGCATAGAGTTAGTTTCCATCTATTTTTGAAGTTCCACACGAATATTAATAAATTTGCCAACAAATGCAGGTAGCCATTAACATATCTAGGCTGGGAACATTAGAAAGGCTGAAGCAATCTCATAAATCGGAAAGAAAATGTTCCTAAAAAGTTTGGTTGTCATCATTTAAACAGCATAAACTGCTAACTGCAATACATTTATTCTTCCCAAAGAGCTATAAGAAAATTGAGGCAAACGTAAAAATCTTAAAAAATAATTGAAGCAAAATGTAATCACATAAATTTCAATAATTCACATCTCCAGAAGTAGTTAAGTTTTAAAATGTGATACCATGATCTAAGGATGCACAGATGGTCATGAAATGCAAGAGATTTAACCTAAAACCCAAAAGAAATTCAAAACAGGTCTACCAGGTAAACAATCAATTACATATGTAACACAAAAACTACATCGGTTTCAAGTTATCCCATCACATGTAAACCTCCATGCCCACACGCTTAGAGGAGTGACACAGGGGACAGAGAGCAATATTACTTTCGCACTCTCTACATACACACAGATGCTTACAAGGAAATAAAAGCATGCGTACTTCATTGACTCTGCAAACCTTACAGGTCATCAACTCCTTCATTTCACCGACATTCTTACATAGCAGGTGGAAGTCAGTGGTACGCCCATTGCAGCAGGAGGCCGTGTCAACGACCTCACTGTCACCACTCCCTTCTTTACTATCTCTACTTTGTGCATAAACCTGCTGTAGACTAAACTTGAGGGTGTTGATCATGTTCTCATTGTATTTGGCCCGCTGTTGCCAAGCATTGGCCTCCAAAACAAGTTGTTCAATTTGCAATTCAAGATCCATATTTTTCTTGTTGATGTCATCTATTTCTGCATCTTTCTCCCCAAGTTTCTGTAGGGCATTCTCTTCAAAGTATGAGATTACCTGTAGTTGATTTGATTCAACTTTCTCCATAAGATCTTGCCTCAGCCGATCACCCTATCAAAGCACAAAAGTTGAAAATCAATTTAATAACATAGAATTCGCTTTAATCACAATATCTTCAGAGCTACCAATGGGAGAATATATTATCATGTGAAGCGAACAGATTTTCCAACCAAAGATTTGTATAGTGTGATGCCACTATCTGACTTAGATGTTTCCATATCAGAATGACTATCCAGCGTAAAATAGAGATTAAACACAATACAGCAGAAATACTCAAACATACCAAACTAGTTTGTAGCACGAAACTTCCCCAGCAGTAATTTTTATTTTACATTATTATTAGATGTTTCATCTAAAAATTCTATGACCAGCAGCTGAAAACTAACTGCAAGCTCTAATTCAAGTAAGAATTTACTTCTCTAATTGATGTTTCTTGGAATGGGTAACTTTATGAGTCGTGTAAAAACTTACTCATTCAAGAAAAAGGAAAAAGAGGAAGAATTCTAAGCTCACTTCCAAGTTCCAAACCTTAAATTTGCATGGGAAGTCCAAAACATGACATCCTTCAATAGTGGCCTCACATATTGCTCAAAGCCAAAACAGAATCATTTCAATCAATTGACGAGTATTATTTCAATTACAGGTACAAACAAACATCATATAACTCTAGATTGTTTCTATTTCCATATACGACTCCAATTTCAGAGAAACAAAATTCTTAAAGAACCAACAAAAAAGTCAACGAAGGAACCTCCTGAAAAGCTTCGTTCTTCAATACGAATTTGTGCTTGGCTTCACAAATGTGCACTTTCATACCATGCGATCAATTGATGAGTATTAGTTCAATTACAGGTACAAACATACATCATTTAAGTCTAGATTGTCTCCATTTCCATATACGACAAAACAAAGTTTCCAACTTCAGAGAAACAAAATGCTTAAAGAACCAACAAAAAAAATCGACAAAGGAACTTCCTGAAAAGCTTCGTTCTTCAATACAAATTTGTGCTTGGCTTCATATATGTGCACTTTCAAACCATGCAAATAACTTTTCTAAATCAATAAACTTTCATAAGTCAGAAATGGTAAACTTTCAAATCAGTCAAACACCGACCATATTAAGATTAGGAGAACTAAGCGTCAACCATCCAAACCTCATGTTTTAGATTTATAATTTCTGACATAACATAAAAAAAGGCTATATCACAACACACAAACATCAGAACACAAGAAAAAAACCATCCCTTAACAAAATCAAGCCCCAATTTTTTTCCACCTGAATTTTGAGGTATCTATCAATCTCAATATCCCGTGTTCGTAACTCGCGATCAAGATCATCACCGATGAGCCTGAACAGAGGCGAATCACCAGAAGAAGCAAGACGTGGATTTTTCAATGACAGCCCCAGCCTGGTTGACACTGACTGCAAGAAATCCACCGAAGATATCTGGGAAGTATTATTTTTATTGTCATTATTGGTGCTATTCTCCAGAAAGTCTTGCGCTTTTGGTCTCTTCTCCTTGGGCTTTAGCCCGGAATTCCACTGCAAATCCAGCCCGTTGTCTTCCTGCACCGGCCCCGGTGGTAACCCTGCAACTCGATCTGAACCCAGAACAGGAATAAATAAATAAATATATAAAAGAAAAATAAAAATAAAAGAACAGTAGAAAATTAGAGTTGATTTTTTAACAATTAAAAAACAGTTAAATTAGTCAATGATCGGCGAAAATACAAGGCGGAACGTAAGGAGGGTGATGATCGGGAAAATTTGGGGCGTTGAAGTAGGTGGCTTGCTTTGAACTCTGACCTTCCACGTTTTCGTACAATTCTCTGAAATGAAGAAGAATATGATGGTAATACGTAATAAAGACTGAAAGGAGAAATCAAGAAATTTGATATAAGCAAGTGAAATTTGTGTGTGTGTTACGTTTGTTCCTTTTTTCCATTTCGAATCTCACCTGAAGAATTTGGATTGTTGTGGTTGTGCAGGTTGTTGTTGGAATCGTGGTTGAGGAAAAGAAGCCATGGCTGACCACACAGAGATGAGAGAAGAATACGAAGCGGAAGGAAGGGTGTTAATTACGTTGAATGGTTATTCAACTTTCTCGAGCGATAAGTGAACTTAAAAATGTATTGTAACGGTCATTGAATTTAATTAAGGGCATTTTCCTCCCAAAAAATTGATTTTTTGATCGTTATTTTACTATTTCAATCGTCATATTTGACTTCTTCTCTCACAGATAAACCCCACTTTTCTCCTAACGAAAAAAAATCAATTCTCAAAATCACTCTCAAACAAACTTTAAATATTACTACTACGTAAGTGAACTTAAAAATATATTTCAATAATCATTGAACTATGTACCGCACTATCCATTTATCACTCAAATGGAAAAATGTGTTAGGTTCAACAATCAGTGTCGATTTAAGTGATGGATGAGTAACACGGTGCATAATTCAGTAACTATTAAAATACATTTTTAATCATTTATAAATAGAACTTGGCATAGTTTAACAATAATTGAGATATATTTTTAAATTCAATTATTAAGTCCCTCAAATTGACATCTAGAAGAAATTAAAAAATGAAGGGAAAAAAGATGAAACCAAAAATCAGAAACATAAAAATTGAAGAAAAATAGAACTGTTGCTGATGTTTACTCCAAAATAAATGGATGACATAAAACTTCAATTGAAAGTTTTGCTACCCAATTTTTGCTGCTCAAATGGAGGATATACGATGCTAAATTGACTCTGGATGATTTACGAAATCAATGAATCCCTGATTAGTATATCCCCATCGACAACTACCGCTTCATTCACTTGAACTACCAAATTGTTCAGTTCATTGGCCATATCTTGTTATTGTTTTTGGTCTTCTTTGTTGTGCTCTCTTACTTCTCTTTGTCTACGAAGAAAAATACGTTTGATTTTTTAATCAACTTATATTAGTTCGCTATATCTCAAACTTCGCATAAAAATATTGAAAAAGTGATAGTATGAACACTGAAAGAAATTTGCAGAGTAAAATTAGATACAAGTACAAAAATGTTCGAATTAGTGCTAAGGTAATTGATGTCGATTCAATTTTTCATCTTTTTTCCCTTCACTTTCTTTACTTTCTTCTTCCACAGAGGCTGATTTGAAGGAAAAAGAAAATGTTACTATTCAATAATTGAAATTAAAAATGTATTTCAATGATTACTGAACTTTGCCAAACATTACTACTTCATAATTAAAATTAAAAATGTATTTCAATGGTCATTGAATTATGTATCGTGTTACCATCCATCATTCAAGTTGACACTATTCGTCGAACCTAACGGATTTTCCACTTGAGTGATTGATGGGTAAGATGATGACAGTTCAATTACTATTGGAGTACATTTTTAAGTTCAGTTATGAAGTAGTAATACTGGATAAAATTTAGTGATCACTGAGATACATTTTTAATTCGGTTATTAAACAGTAACACTTAATAAAGTTCGATAACCATTCAAATAATTTACCCAGAAGGGAGGGTGAGAGAGTTGAAGGGAAGAAATATTACTTTTAAGTAATGCTATTCCAATATATTTTATCGTCGCCCCTTTTTCTGCATTATCATTCTCAAACTCTTACCCCATGTTTTTAGAGATTTTAGGAATAGAATTTATGAATTTTTTTAAAAAAATATATAATTTAAAAGATAATTTTTCTTACGAACTTACGTACCAAATTATTTTATTGAGAGTGCAATTGAAATAAGTTTGAAAAAAAATGAGGTCCAAACAATGTGCATTGGATTTCTAAAGTATCTTTTGTGAATAAATGTATTTTTAGGATCGATTTGTCCACACATATTTTACTTGCATCAATCCAGTATCAAACCTCTTTCGAAGTGTATAATGCCTCGATGATGCAGCTAGTAAAAATATAGCAAATCCATCGACGGATGGAGCTGTTGATGCGGCTGGTTACCATGGAGACACATCTGAGTGGTCATGAGACAATTAAAGCAACCTTTTGCACCTTTGTCAGGCTGTTAAAGAATTTATAGGTTTGGATAATAATAATAATTATATCGATCTCTAACTTTCAATGAGGTGTTATGCCGAGATGCTCCATGAATGGTATGTGAAATGTGAGGTAATTTATGAAGTTACTAATGATATGGACACAATTTAGAAAACTCGCATTTGATGCAAATATGTCGTGGATGGTTGAAAAACAAGCTTTCTCACATATTCCATCTATATGAGGAGAAAATTTCCAAGACTCAAAGTCGTTAGTTGCAATATTAATGGCCCGTTTGACATAACTTTTACTTTCTATAGAAGAGTTTTAAAAGGAAATTACCTTAATTCTTGTTTGAAAATTAATTTTTAAAAAGTACTACCTATTTCGAAAATGCTTTTAGAAGAAAGCACATTGAACTAAGTTCCTCTAAAAACTCTTCTAGTTAGAAGAAAGGCTTTTGTAAAATTAATCAAATGGGTCCAAAAGCAATTTTTAAATCTCAAAAGCTCATTTTTATTTTTCAAAAGTTATACCAAACGAGTACTAAACAATCTAGGATCACTTTGCTTTTAGGTCTAAATATTAAAGTCATGCTTGCACTTGCTGGAAAGCTCGTTACTGATTTAAAGCAGTATTGAAAGGTTACCTATTGTGAGCATGGATCGCAAGAATTTTTTCCTCAAAGGACGTGTGTTTATATTAGTCAACATATTTCTCATAATAGAGAAATAATAGCGAGGAAACGTTGGATTTCTCAGGGCATCGTTTAGTTGTTGGTACATGATATGAAATATTTATAGAACTTTCACAGTTTGAGATAGTGACATGCTTAAAACCAATCCCTGAAATAGATCGATATGAGTATTTTTAGATTGTTGATTCTGCAAATATTTAGGAAATAAGTATTCTCTAGTATATGGGAATTGGCTTCATTATGGCCGGATACGGGGCAAGTGTAACAACCTAAATCTTGAAATTTGTACAAAAATAACAATGTTACTTTTGTTTCTTTAAAAAATTCAGATTAAATTTTTATTTATTTTTTTTAAATTTCTCTTTTAACTTTGTAGTTATCTTGGCATTCTATTACAAATTCTAAACTTTATTGGAAACAAATGATTTAAGTTAGATAACTTTGATTTGTTAAATAACGAAACTAAAATGAAGGGTTAAAATGAAAGTTAGCATGCATTAATGGAGTTTAATTCAGCAATGTGCAACCCAACGATCAAGCTTAATTGGACCATTTATCAGATGCATAATTTTATAAAATTTTTATAGTATTTTCTAAATTCATTCAAGTACAACATACTAATATATTAGAATTTTATAAGATCATTTAGGTACTCCAATAGACACTCAAACATGTATAATAATAATAATAATAATAATAATAATAATAATAATAATAATAATAATAATAATAATAATAATAATCTGTTCTTGAGTACACTAAACTTAGCACACAGAAAAAATGCATAACTTATCCTATCAATATTCAATCGACTTGATTCTAAGGCCAACGGACAGATAACTCATAAGGCTTTTAAAACCCACTAGTTTTGTCCAAAACTTCAAAAAATTTGTCCGAAATGATGCCACAAAGTTCAGGTAGTAAGCTGAAAATTTTATTTATAAGTCTAACTTTTAATCTTAACTTCTTTAGCAAATTTAATCATATGCATACTTCAACCAGATAAAAATTTAAGAGTTCACATTAAGAAAAACAACTAGAAAATCTTCAAGAAAGAAAAAAATAACATCTTTTAGAAATTGAACATAAATTGCTTAATTAGAAGGAACTAAAAACTCTTCAAATATAATTAATTACACGAATGAAGCACCTTTCTCCTTTCTGATCCTCTGCGATCCACGTAAATCCCACTTTCTTGACCATCCTTTAATTTGAAAATTTTGTCAATGTAAGTGTGAACTTTAAGCTAAGTAGGATTAATATCACTCATGTGCACTCTTTTGATCATAAATATATATACATCTATACAAAGTGATAGAAAAGAATTTAACATTTCACGTAGATAAATACCAACAAATTCATGATTCCGAGGAATCCCTTAGGATCATAGACAATCGGTTATGGTTATACATAAACTTCTTTATTCGTATCTTCAAAAATTCTAACACACACACACACACACACACACACACACACATAATGAATAATAAGAGTCAATATTTAGCACCACCTACCTTTATTTTCTTCAAATATAAATGAACGAAATGTGTAAAAAGTCTTTTTCCTTTGCACCATTACTATTCCTTTAAACTTAACATAATATAAAAGATATTTTTGAGAGAAAATAAAAGTAAATTCAAATTTGAGGAGAGGTATAGCGAAAAAAAATGACTTTCTTCTTCTCATAACCTCCATTTTTAGTGAAAAACTAAAGGAGAAAGTTATATTATCATTAACTTTATTAAATTGAGTCTTTAATTAGAAACTTATAGAATTTTAAGCCCATAAAAAAATAATTCTTATAAAAAGTTTTATAAAACATTTACATAATGAAAAATAGAAGAAATGAACTATTCATATGATTTGTAACCTATCTCTATGAATGTTCACTAATAAAACAATTATTCCATTCAATTAATTGGATATAATTGTTCTTAATATGTAAAATGAGGAGTTTTTAACTGAAAAATAATTTAAGAAGAAATCTATATGGTGATTTGAACATGGATTATATATGTAAAATACTATGCAAATGACCATTGTAATAACCCAGTTATTTATTAAATTATTGTAATCAAATTTACTTAAACTTAATATTTTAAATTTTTGGGTTTTCAAATAAGTTATGGCTTGAGCTTTCATTGCCTTAAATGAACCAAGCTTACATAGCTCGTTTTTTAAATGGACTATGTTATTGATCATATGTGAAGCTTCCAATGGAAGCCACTTGGAGGTACCGCAAGCACACAATTGGTAGTCAATTTGGACAATAAAGAAGAACGAAAGAGCTGTCTTTTTGGCAGAAGCACTATATCCATCAAAGCGCCGCTGTCAAAGTGCTCTGTTCCATTAAAGTTGACCTCAGGCTGAACTCCTTCATGTTCTAGGCTCTTTCCTGTCTTCTATGATTGAAATG